CTGAAGTCGCTGCCGCCATTCCCTCCTCATCTACTGCTGCCACTTCACTCGTTGTCGCCTCATCCACTGCTGCCAGTTCGGCCATTGCCATCGCCACCACAGCCGCATCACCCCCGACCACCCCTATGGCTGAGTCTTCCAATATCAACATGTCCCCCCCACACACCCAGTCCGTCGGTAGTCTCGCCCGTGAACTTTGTAGCCGAACAACGAGCCAGCCCCGCCATCGCCATTGACCTCTCGACCATCCTCCCCGCCATCGCCATTGACCTCTCGACCATCCTCCACATGCTCTCCAGCGTACAAACAACGGTTCAAACATCCCTCACCAACATGCAAACAACTATCTTCGCTCTCTCCGATTGCATGACCGCCTTCGAGGAACAAGCTTCGACCATCACAGTGGTCACCACAACTCCAACCCCTTCCACATTCGGACCGACCACCTCCTCCACTCCATCCTCCACCACCATGCCTCCCTCCACCTCTCCTCCTAACCACCCTATCCTCCAGCGACTCTACCCCACCCCCACTTCTTCCACTTCCACCCCCCCACATTCAACCCCCCCACATTCCACCCCTGGCATCACACATCTTTCCTCCCTCCCTCCTCATCAACACATCTCTGCTCCTATCCTGACCACTTCAACCATTACATCCTTCCCGCTCACATACGGGCAAGTCACCAAAATCCCCTACGCGTCATCCTCGACTCTCCTCCCCGCCTTCCCCTAGCTTCCCCCCAACAACCTTGTCCCTACCAACCCCACTGACGACTTCATCCGCATCGTGTCTGCACCCTCATCTTCGCCTCCAAGACATTCCCACCTTCTCTTGACACTCCCATCACGACGTTCTCCTCTTCCTTGCCACGTTACAACAAGCTTTCGAACTTCACGTCCCCCTTATCCAATAGCTTTCCATCGCCGTCAACAAACTCGTCGACATCGCCCATCAATGGTGGATCACCGAATCCGCCAACCGACACTTCGCAGGCCTATCTCCCCTCTCCCTCCTCGAGTGGGCCTCCCTTCTCTCCGCCACCTTTCGCCCGCAAAAGACAATCGATGACTATGTCGACCAGTTTTGCAGGCTTCGCCAAAACGGCCCCACCAATCGCGTCGTCCAATATGTATGTACCCCGTGCCAAAACATTCCCAATGACCCGATCAGCGACAACGTTCAGCGGGTCCGCTGCAAGGACCTCGCATCCACCCTCACCTACGAGGCATCCATGTCCTTCACCGACCTCCTCAACCGTGCCCTTCAACACGATCGCCTTCTCTGCCCCGTTCGTGGTCCCACCACCTCCTGTCCACGCTTTTTTCACAACATCTCCGCGGATGAGACCACCATAGCGTACCCCTTCGACGACGAGTTCACAACCCCTCTTGTTGAGCCCAACACCCTCTCCGACTCGTCCGCCCTGGTGTCCCTCAGCTCGGAGGAACTCAACATCATCCCGGTTCTTGCGTATGGAACACAAGGACCGCATGGCTCGACCATCTTCCTCCACCCAACCCCCCCGTCTCAAGAAACTCACAACCGAGGAACGCTCCTACTTGCAGGCCAACAATGGCTGCTTTCGTTGCCGGTCGCATGGACACCAGCAAACAAACTGCACCAACGTTGGCCAGGTCACTCGTCACGTGAACAAACCTGCGACATTCACTCCTTCGGCCGCTGTGGGACCCGGCCCCTCATCACGAACTCTGTACCCTTGATCTCGGAGTGCACCTTACTCCACCGGCGACATCCTCTACCCCGTCAGACGAGATCATCACCGCCTCGTGCTCTTCCACGCTCCTCCCCAACCCATCCTTCATCTCCTTCTCTGATGTTGTTGCGAAACAAGCACGATTCGATCGGACTGTTAAGTGAGGCCTCGAACAACGCCGCCTCAACACCATGATCTTCCCCGCCCCCGTCGACTCCTCCCGATTCCAACTCTAATTCATCGCTGCCTCCCTAGGTGCGTCTACACTCAAGTCCCGGGCTCTCCTTGACGTTGGAGCTATTGACAACTGCATCACCAACGCTTGTGCCCACAAAGCGGGTCTCCCTTCCACCGGCGATGACTCACCGATCACCATTCGACTCGGGGACAAGGACTCCGCCGTCGTAATAACCGCACCATAATGGTTGTCGGCTCTCTCCGCAACCGGGTCTCATTCGATGTCATTCACTTGATGTGCGACATTGTCCTGGGAAACCGTTTCATGCCCTACGCATTCCATCACACCTTCTGTCGCATCACCACACCCCTTGGCTCTACCCTTGACATTCCCTACTTTCCTCACCCTATCTCCCAACCTTCCGTCACTCCCCACCAATTTCTCCACATGGCTCATCACAACCCCGACTCTACCTATTATTGTTGTACATTAACACTAAAGGCACTCGGCGACTCTGTATCCCTGACGCATGTGGTCTTTGTACCCAACTCTTGGACAAACACCACGACGCCAAGCCCGCAGGACACCTTGGTTTCCAGAAGACATTCGACACTGTCTCTGGCTACTTCTACCCACCCTCACTCCTCGCCGACGTCAAAGCATAGATCCCATTATGCCCCACTTGTCATGCAGTCAACCCCTCAAACCAGGCCAAGCCTGGCAAGCTCCAGTCATTGCCTATCCCCACCCATAGGTGGCAGTCCATCTCTATGGATTTCGTGTGTGGTCTCCCCAAGACCGATTGCAGCTATGACTGCATCTACGTCATTGTCTGCCGCTTGACCAAGTGGGGCCCGTTTCATACCTTGCACCACTTCTCACAATGCTAGAGACGTCGCCACACTCTTCTTTGATCATGTCACACGCCATCACGGTCTCCCCGAAAACATCATCAGTGACAATGATCCTCGCTTCCTTTCCCAATTGTGGAAAAACATGTTCAAAGCCTACGACACCACTCTCAAGTACAACACTGCATTCCATCCCCAGACCGAGGGCCAGACCGAAAAGATGAACGATACTCTCCAAAGAACCCTGAGGAAGTTTTGTCATCCACACAAGCACGACTGGGATCGGTTGCTCACCGCCGCCGAGATTGCCTACAACAATGCTGTCTACCCTTCCACTGGCATGTCCCCATACTACCTTTACCTTGGCTACCATCCTCGCTTGCCCTCAGATTTCTTGCTCCCCTCGCAGCTCAACCCATCCACTCCCTTGGCTACCATCTTCGCTTGCCCTCTGATTTCTTGCTCCCCTCACAGCTCAACCCATCCACTCCCTATCCTTCTCTCAATGAATGGGTTGCAACAATGAACTGCGTCCTTAAAGAAGCCACTGACGCATTTGAAAAAACCGAACAACAACAAGCTAACAAGACCAACAAACAAGAGGACAAATTCTGGCTCTCCGCCAAACGCTTTGAACCCCAACATGGCTTGTCCAAGAAACTCTCAAACAAGTGGCTCGGTCCATTCCCCGTCATTGAAGAAACATCCCCTGTAAATTACAAACTTCAACTACCCCCTGACATGAGACGTGTTCACCCTGTCTTCCATGTCGAGTACTTAAAGAATACCATGAATCACCTCCACAATTTGCCGACCGCCCGTATCCTAGACCTCCACTAGTCATGCTACCTACCGGGAATTCGCGGTAGAATCTATCATAGGACGAAGAACAACTCGAAGTATCCAATCACCCGGAACCAATCACTGAATGCAAAGTCAAATGGACCGGATACCCAGATGAAGAATCTACATGGGAACCCCTCGATAATCTCAAGAACTCCATGAAACTTGTTTGTGCCTATGATCGTGCTCACCATGTATCCTAGCTATATACTACGCATAACACCCATATACCCTGCATAAACCCTGCCTCATTGCTCTACACACAGCCCTTGCACCCAGCAAAACCCCTGCCCCTCGACCTCTCTCTGTCTGATCCGTTCTTGCCTCCGTCTCGTTCCCCAATCTGTCCTCTGCCACATCCTCTCTCTCTCTTGTCCAAGCCTTACCTGTGGCCCCTGCACATCGCCGGCGATGAAGGATCTAATGGCAAGTGTACGAGGACGATGGTCTGCTGCAGCACAGTTCGAGGAGATTAAGCAGCTGGTTGGCCACCATGCTGTCCCATTGGCCGGCACCTGGAATCACAGACTTCTGGAGCAGCACTCTTGACATGGACATCAGGATCGTTTACCGGACGCACCCTGGTACTTGAACCTCCATCGATTGGACTGCTACACTATTTCTTTCAATCTGGAAACCTCGCTACTACATGTCGTAAGCCTGCTGAAGACTGGTTTATCATCAGCATTCTGTCTATCCATACCAGGACTTATTCAAGACCTGCTTCAAGCCTCTCACCCAGACCATTTTTAGAACCTGCAATTCCCCCCCCCCCCCCCCCCCCATTTACTTTGAGATACTCAAAAACCGCAACCCCCGAACAGTGCAAAATAATCTTCCTTTCTTTATTTTTGCTCACAGCACCCCTTTGCCCAATGTAACCCTGTAGTTCATATGTACGACAACTCTGTTCCCCCCTCAGATCATAAGCCGGTAGTCCATCCGGAGGACAGCCCTGTTCCCCTGCAGTTCCTAGCCCTGTAGTGCATTAGTAGGCAAACTCTGTTCCTTCTTGTACACACACCCCGTAGCTCATCAGTAGGAAAACCCTGTTTCCCCCAGCTCTTGCTACCCACATTATACCCCTCTCCCTTTTTCTTCCTGCTTCCCAGTGATCGGCCCCATCCCTCCTTCACAGGATTCAGCATTATTTTCATGACTTTTGGCAAGCCGGAATGATGCCTTCTAGAGGGAGGGGATAGCGTTACGGACTCCGCCAGGCTCAATCCCTGGTATGTGGGTTACCACCCGCCAGCTTGCTGTATTTGTTTTCTTTTTTTTCGTGTTTTTCTTTTTGTTTTTTATTCTTGCTTTTCTGATTTTGGACAGTTGGCGCTATCTGCATTTTTGCACCCGTTTCAAATTCTTTCTTTTGGGACTTTCGGATTTCGGACACTTGGCGCCATCAGACATTCTGGCGCCCACTCTCAGACTTTCGATTCTGAGTTCTGGCTCTGAGCCATTTTCACTTTCGCCGTCAGGACCATACTTGAGTCCGGTACTTATATACGGACTCAAGCCCAGTGCGGGCACAAAGTTTTCAGCCTCAGTGCTTGTGTTCAGTGCGACTTTGCTTCGACATGGTGTTGGGAAATTCAAGAGCGCTTCCGAGCAGCAACGCCCATGCAGACACTAGTGCAGCAACGCAGCATCGTCTCCGCATTGCCTGCCAAGGCCAGAATGAGGCTGCCTGGGCGAGGCGTTTTCCTTTATGGAAAGTGCGGCCCTTCATCTGGCTGCGTGGGCCTGGCCTGAGAGGTTTCCAGTCGGGCCCCAGTGTCTGCGCCCAGGCCCCACCCTGCTGTTACGGGCCTGGGCCCTTTTCAGTTGGGCACGTCCAGGTAGCCGGCCATCCTCCAAGTGTTCGCATCATTCTCATTGGCTCGCTGCCAGTCCGTGATGTGCCGGCCTCACACGACATGTACCCAGGGCGCAACCACCTGAGCCCTGGGCTCAACTGTACAGCGCAGCCCTTGCTTTTGGAAGGAGCCTGAAGGCTCATGTTGCTCTGTATCCAAATGGCGTGCTACTACTGTCTGATTCCCCACATATGGAAAAATGTTGTAAAGAGGCCTCTCGTGGATGTTCAGGCCCGCCTTCACTTAAAACGGGCACGGGGTTGCTGGGGCCGCAGCCCAGAACACTCGCATGTTTGATAAGGGCCCCGCGTGGGCTCATTCCTCGCATTCCATTCCCCTTAGCGTCGAAAGTCCACTGAGATGCTTCTACGCAGGTGCTTTCCCCTTCAGTCTTCGTTCGTACTCGGCCACGATGTGAGGTGCTGTTTTGACAAGCTCCTCTCTTGTGAACCAACAATCTTCCTTTGGATCCGTATGATGCCTGAATCTGACCCGGTACTCCCTCATACTTTTGGGCGGTCTTCCCCTGCCCACAGTCTTGGGAACAGGCAAGTCTCTATGTTCGAAAATGTTGTTGACGTCCACATGGCCATCCATGGTTGGGGCCAGCATTGACCTTCTTAATGGGAACATCTGTCCCAGCGGAAGGTGCGAGCTTGGAAGCGTGAAATACAGGGTAAGTGCGCAAATGACCAGGGATTGTTATGCCGAATGAGGGACCATCTAGATCACTACCCATGATATCTAGGACTTCCCAAGGACCAAATCACTGCGGCATTAGCTTTCTGAATCACTACCCATGATTCTTATGGCGTACGGGGGACCATCTACATCACTACCCACAATTCTAATGGCGTACGGGGTGGCATCTTCTTCCTCCTATCATCCAGGCCCTCACTCGCGTTACTTAGCCTGGCCTCGGTAGTCCAAGCCTTACATATTTAGTAGAAGAAGAATCGTCTGTAGCCTGGTTGGACTCGCTTCCTACTTCAGTAGGTAAGCATCTGATGTGAGTAGTAAAGTGAACAGGGTTATCGTACATTCACGCAGACAGTTCGGGAGCGCCCGGCAGCCTGGAAACTCGCGCGCGCGACACGTGGGTAGTCTCGGCGCGATGGCGTCTTGGTGATGGGGTGATGAGGGGGTGGCGATCGGACGGCGGGAGGGCGAGGAGTTGGAGCGTGTTTCGGTGTCGTCCACCATTTGAAAGCGCTTCGGCGCCATCTTCGGCTTGCGCTTCGTCCAGTGGTGTCACAGGTTGGCACGTTGGGCGAAGGGGAGAGTGCTTTCGAGAGGAGGTGGGTCTCTTTGAGTGGTTTAGCCTTCATGGCTTCTGCTCCTTGGTCGGCGTTGTGTTGTGGTGGGTGGTTGGGAGACGCGGACGAAAAGGAGGAGCGCGTGCTTGCGTGGAGCGGGAGGAAGATTGGAGGCGACATCGAGCGTGTTGACTTCGAACTTGGTTTATAATTTGGTCATCTGTGGCAATGGTTTGCTATCGTCATCAGGACGACGGTCGTCATCGCAACTTTCAGCATCAGGGTATTACTCGCCTTCATCGTCAAGGCGTTTCATCAGCTACTCGTCATCATCATCAAGGCATATGAAACTCGGCGCAAATATCACCACGCACAATCATCATCATCGTGTAGTTATTATAGGACGCTGTGCGTCATCATTTTTAGCATCATCATTACTGCGATCATCATCATTGCCATCATTGGTATCATTTCGTTGTTATCATTTTTAGGTCGATTATCTAAAGTGCGTCATCATTCTTATCATCATCATCACTACGATCAACATCATCATTACAACAAAGTGCTTGTTAGCACACCATCATTTCTTGTAGTTATCATAGGGCGTTGCGCGTCATCATCTCTATCATTATCATCATCATCATCTTCATTGTCATTTCCATTAGTGCATCTTGAAAATCATCAACATCATCAATCATCATCACCATCGTTACTTACATCACCATCAACATCCTCATGAATATCATCAACATAATCATCAGCTCATTATCATCATCATCATTGTCGATATTTCCTTCATCATCGCCATCATTATATCATCTTCACCATCATCACCATCATCATCAGCTTGTTTTCATTAGATGTTGTTCTGCATCAGTTCCCATTGTCATCGTCTTCAGGGCGCTGTTATCGCAATCGACAAAATTCGTCAAAATTCCAAGCAAAGGATATCTGGTAAGTGAGTCATTAATTGGCTGGATTGGATTGTTCCTGGAGGGTTGAATGGTGRGAAGGGGGTGGGGGGAGCTCTATCCTGCAGAGGCATCGCAAGGAGGGGGGTGATTGTCTCAAAGAGGGTAGGGGCGGAGTAGGGGGTTGCCTTATTCCGGGGCAAGGACTATGTGAGGGCCAACATCAGTCCCTGCGGGGGCGGAAATGGGCAAGGGGTGGGGGGGACACGCTTTAGGTGGGAACTGCGTGCTCCTGGGGTAAGGGGGAGGGGTAGGGGGAGGGAGGGGCGATCTCTCTCGAAGAAATCTGTCATCCAGCTCACTATAGGTTTTCATTTGCTTGCCTTTCGAGGAGGTAGTAGGAATAGGTGAGACCCGGCAACTCCACCCATGATCCTGCGAGGGGTGGTTGAAAAGTCGGTGGCCCTCGAAGACCGATGCTGGAGCAACGCTGGACGGAGCCGGAGCCAGGTGGCGCAACTCTGTGACCTAGCTTAGTGGGGGAGCGAGGCCTGGTAGAGAGCTGGGGGGCTGTTTGCGGGGGCAGTCCCAGTGGTCATCGGGGGTCGTAACGGGAGCGATGCTGGCCGGTGCTGGAGCAAGGTGGTGCAGCTCTGTAACCTAACTTGATGGGAGCATGAGGCCCGGAAGAGCTTCGGTTCGTGCGGATTCTAGCCATGCCGGTGGTGGTTGTAGGTGGATTGAGTAAGGTTTACCTATTCGTAGGACCTCTTTGGTAGGCTATTGCAGGAGTACTTGATATTCAGGATCTTTCTCCTGCTTTTGAATTTTATCGTGTTTATAGATGGTTGGGTAGGTTGCATAGTGATCATCTTTAGCCGAAGCCGGGTAACGGCCCTGGTATCTCAAAGTTTTCTGCAAAATTCTCTCAATATGTTTTTGAATGGGACGTTGGGCCCGGTTCCCAGCACGTGTTGCTCCCCACGAATAGATTGGAGCAAGTTCCAAAAAAAAAAAAAAAACCAGCGACACCGGGAGCACAACTAGTTTCCCCTCAATGTTGGTGAACTTATGACTAGCAAGCCGTGCCTTACAGTGTTCTTGCCACGAGTCCAGACCGCGGTTGTGTCCATTGCCTTGTGCCTACCCATCCAACTACCTTGCTGCAGCAACATTTTCTCCCTTCTCTAGACACATGTCTTGTGGCTGTGGACCAACTACTTGTGCCTTCTGCACAGGTGTTTGAACCGGCGGAACAGGCTGCCTAACCTACTGCACAAGGCGCTGGCCCGGCTGCCGCACTGTAGTTGCAACAATTGATAGGGGTACAGATGAAGCAGTTCCTGAAGTCTGCCACTACTACCTACTGATGAACCAACCGCCTGCTGGAAATATGTCATACTGAGGTACAAAGAGACCTCTCATAGGCAGCAATGACACATACACACCGGGTCACCCAGGCCTTGCCGCAGGCCTGGGGCCTTCTCGCCTGTCAATGTGGCCAGCATTCCCTACTAAACGGCCTGTACTTCGGTCACATTGACTGCACCGAAGTCCCCGCATATTAGGAGCTTCCACGTTCACAACTTTTACCGTGTTTAGTTCCGCTTCTCTCGCCTCTTCGTTTTCTAGCTCTATCTCGTCTATCCTCTACCTCCTGTACCTAACTAGGGTTGTTGCTAGGGTTGTTTCTCTAATCTCAGTGTCCTCCACTGACTTTTGCAGAACCGGTAGCCTTTGCTGCCTCGGCCTTGGCTGTAACGTGCACTGCTGCTACAGCTGCTAGTGCCATCATTGCGTTACCTGCTGCCACCTGTCCCTTCAGTGAGATCCTACTCTCCTCAGCTGCTCTCCTCTGGCTCCTTTCCTCACCTGGCTTTAACACCGAGCAAGTGGTAAGTCAACAAAATGCCTATCCACAGGTAATCCTCCCCTGATCCTAGTCTGTGTGTCTCAAACTCACTGTCATCTTCACCCCAGAGCTACATGTGGCATGCAATCTGAACTGGTGTCCTCGCTGGGACATACCACAGTGTGGCACCCAACCACTTAAACCATCGCCCAGCTATAAAATAAAGTCGGGCCTGTTAACGAGCCGCAACTTTCGTGGGTCGGTAGCTCCAACGCCCAGTCGGTGCAATTTCGCCCCCCCCCCCAAAAAAAAAAATTAGAAAAAATAGAAAAAAAAAACATTTTCTTCTACCCCAAAAAAAAAAAAACAACAACGAAAAAGCCATCAAGTACTACAGCAAACGCATGCCCAATGAAAATGTAGCTACTTCCACCTACATGCGTGAGCTCTATGCTTTGCGTATGGCTCTGGATCATTGGAAGTACTATCTTTTGGGACGCCACTTCAAAGTGTTATCAGATCATGATACCTTGAAGAGGGTCAAACCACTTTGTCCCCTACTCTACTGTGCTGGTTCCATGAGATTGCCATTTTTGATTTTGAACTAAGACATAAAAAGGGTTGTTATAACCGAGTCGCTAATGCGTTGTCTCGCCACCCTGAGTACATGACTTGCCTTGTGGGTTCCTACGACCTCCGAAAGAAACTAAAGGAGGAGATCGTAGAACATACTGCCAAGGATTCGGACCTTGGTCCCATCCTTGAGCAGTTACCGGCTGACCCCAACAGTCGGTCTGATTTTCACGAATATGGAGGACAGGTTTACCGACGCTATGGGAATCACGACCGTTTGTGTGTACCCAACCATGAGCCTCTCCGCACGCACTTCTTGGACTTGGCTCATGGCCGGAGCGGACACTTCGGCATGGCAAAGACGTACGGAAACCTACTAAAACAGTTTGATTGGCCCAGTATGAAGGGATGGGCTGAAAAGTTTGTGGCTGAATGTCAAATCTGTCAACGAATCAAACCATGTAGGCAAAAGCCCATGGGGCTACTCACACCCCTTCCCCTTCCCGATGGACCCGGGGAGTCCGTCTCTCTCGACTTCACTGACGTGGGAAAGGTAAGCAAGAATGGCTATTCACAAGTCATGGTGATTGTTGACCGCCTCTCTAAATTTTTGAATCTGATTCCTTTGCCATCTCATGCCCCAACTGAATTGGTGATCCGTGAGTTCAAACAAAAGTACATTCTGCAGTTCAGAACCCCGAAAACTCTTGTGAGCGATCGGGACCCACGCTTCATAAGTATCGAATGGAAGGACTTCACGTCCCAACTCCCTGGTCTCAAATTATACATGACATCTAGGCGACATCCTGAAGCCAATGGTTTGGATGAGGAAATCAACCAGATTGTGTTTCAGCTTCTCCGCGGTTTAATCATTCCGGCAAGAGATCTGGGATGAAGAGTTGTATTCCATCAAGGGGTTGTACAACAACTCCATCCATTCTGCCACCGGCATGATGGCAAACAGGCTGCATTACGGTTGGCAGATTCGAAATCCGCTCTCCTACCTGTTCCCTAAACAGCCAGCTGGTTTAACACCCGGGAGGCCTGGCTTCAGGGCCAAGTACGATCGCCTGCTCAAAGTTGTCATCGCAGCAATGACCAAGCGACAACATGCCATGATCCACCATGCGAACAAGAAGCGTCGACCTTCGGATATCGAAGTAGGAAGTTATGCTTGGGTCAAGATGTAGTCTCACGCAAACTTCTTCCACTCTACTACGGTCCGTGGGAAATTCTGGATGCGATTGGCAATGATGAGTTTGGCCCCTCATACACAGTTGTTGTGCCACCTCATATGCGCACATACCCCGTCTTTCATGCATTGAAACTGTATATCCACCGTGATGCTAAAAGCTTCGATTACCGTGAAGATATGATTCCTCATGGAATCAATGGCGGTTATGAGATTAATAGAATCTAACAGCACGTGGGGAAGGGACGTAACAGACAGTACCAGGTCCACTTCATGTATCACCCGTTGGGCGATCTTTGCTGGATCTCCAAGAAGGAACTGTTGTGCATCGCACCTCACGTTGCTAAAGCCTACGGACGACAAATCACCTCTAATGTTGTTCCCAAAACCTTTGCAAAGCTCACTGCGACAGGGTACTCTCGAAATCTCGTTGCCTTATTTGCTTACGATGCGTTTCTCGGGGATTCAGACTG